CACAGAGCCGGGCCGCTGCAGTTGTGCGGCAGGGAGGTGTTCCCGTCACACTCGTCCACATCCAGACAGTCATAGCCACTGCCCTCCATGCCATGTGGACAGGTGCAGGAGTGATTTCCAGGCAGGTTAGTGCAGCTGGCAGCTGGGTGGCAGCCCCCGTTTTGGAGTTGGCACTCATCAATGTCTATAATTCATCCAAAATGGAACAGTGTCAGGGAAACAGCCCTAAATGATGCAAAAAAAAAAAAGCTGAAGAGACGGACAACTTACAATGGCAACAAAACCAACGTGTGTGTCACAAACAACAACACCAACAACAACAACAACAACAACAACAATCAGGGCTCTTTTACCTGAGCAGTTTTTCCCGTCACCTTCGTAGCCACTGAGACAGAATCAGGAATGGCTGCCTACGGTGTTGACACACTGGGCAAACTCACTGCACTCCTTCAGGCCGCTCTCACACTCGTTCACATCTGCAAACAAAGAGGAAAAAAAAGAGCAGAGAGTGTAAGAATTAGCATTAGAGGGTTCCCTCTGGTCATCGATCTCAGTACCGTTATCATCCCAGGTCTAGTGTCACTGTGTCTGCTTCAGACGTTAAAAGGAATGTATTTTAAAAAGCTAAAAATTGATTTAATTAGAAATCGTGACCAAGGTAACTTTCCCAGGTAACTGCCTAAGACCTAGACTTGTACTTTATTTAATTTCTGCTCCAAAACTCGTGGAAAATGGAACCGATCCATACAGCTGTGTCCCTGAACCAACCTTCTCTGGACATGGACAGACATGGACATGTACTCACCAACACATTTCGTTGTTCCTTCAAGTGTGTAGCCATTTCTACACACACACGAGAACGATCCTGGAGTATTGACACACTCCGTTTCATCCTCAGGACAAACGTTCTCCTCCTGACACTCGTCCACGTCAGAACAGAACACTCCGTCACCCTGGAAACCCAGGTCACACACACACTGGTGCCCAGCAGGTGAAGGGTGACACAGACCACGTGCATGGCAGGCCGGGTCACACAGTGGACTGGGAGACACGCAGCTGTCATTGAGGGCCAGGGTTCTGTTCAGACAGGAGCAGACATGTGTACCAGGAGAGTTGACACATGTGGAGAAGGATGGGCAGATGGTACCAGACAGAGCACATTCATCCACATCCACACACAGGAAACCATCTCCATTAAAGCCCTGCTCACAGGTGCACAGGAAGTCTCCTATCAAGTTGGTACACAGTGCACGTGAGTGACACGGGTCGGCCTCAGAACACTCGTCTACATCCTCACACCGGCTGCCGTTTCCTTTGAATCCTTGGAAGCAGGTGCAGGTGTGGGAGCCCACTGTATTGAGGCAGGTGGCGTTGACGTGACACGGGTCGTTGTCACACTCGTTGACATCAACACAGTCCATGTTAGCGGCAGGGCGGTAGTAACCTCGTTGACAGGGACACTCGTATGATCCATCAATGTTCTTACACTCTTCATTCAGTCCACACGGCTCACTCTGCTCCTCACACTCGTTGATGTCCCGACATAGAGTCCGGTTCACCAGGTTGAAACCTCCTGGACACAGGCAGGAGAAGGAGCCCCGGCTGTTGACACACTGAGCGTTGTCACTGCAGCCTCCGTTCTCCAACAGGCACTCGTTCACATCAGTGCACCGGACCAGACCGTCTCCAGAGAAGCCCACCTTACAGCTGCAGTTGTAGGAACCAGGAATGTTAATGCAGAGGGCGTTCTCATGGCACTGTGACATCTGTAAGCACTCGTCCACATCCTCACAGGTCAGACCATCTCCCCTGAACCCGTCCTTACACTCACACATGAAGGACCCAGGGAAGTTCTCACAGCTGGAGTGGACGCTGCACCTGCCCTCTGCACACTCGTCCTCATCGTCACACTTGGACTGATTGAAGATGTAGCCCAGACCACAATCACAGAAATACAACCCATCCGTGTTGACACACGTGGTGATGGGAGGGCAGATTTTGGAGTCTTTACACTCATCGATGTCCTCACACTGTCGTCCATCTCCAGTGAACCCTCCTGGACAGGAGCACTCGTACGTGCCCATCCTGTTGATGCAGGTAGCCACTGGGTCACACTTGTTTCCTTCATCACACTCATTAATGTCAGCACAGGTCAGACCGTTCCCTATGAACCCACTCTTGCAGGAACACTTGAAAGACCCGATGGTGTTTTCACACACAGAGTACAGACTGCAGGTGTTGCTGGCACACTCATCTATGTCCTGACACCGCTGCCCCTGGCTTTCGTAACCAGTGTTGCACGTACAGGCGTAGCTGCCGGGTTTGTTTATACAGCCTTTGTAGCCTAAAGAGGAGGAGCAAACGTGAGAGATTTCTGAACACTCGTCGATGTCCAGACACAGGTAGTTCCCGTTTCCTTTGTAGCCTTTATTACAGGTACAGACATAGGACCCAGGGTTGTTGGTGCAGGTGGCATTCCAGTGGCAGGTCCCTTTTCTGTCACACTCATTAATATCAGTGCACTGAAATCCATTGCCACTGAAACCGTTCTTACACTCGCACTGTCTCCCGCCCTCAGTGTTGATGCACACGGCGTTGGCGTGGCAGCCGCCGTTCTCCACCAGACACTCATTAATGTCCTGGCAGTTGATCCCATCTCCAACGTATCCACTGTTACAGAAGCAGCTGTAGCTGCCCAGAGTGTTGTTGCAGGTGGCTCTTTGGTGACACCTGTGGACTCCACTCCCACACTCATCAATTTCACTGCACAGCTGGCCGTCGCCCTGGTAACCCATGCGACACTCACAGGTGAAGTTGTCTCTGAAGTTCAGACAGTTGGCCTGTAGGTGACACTTCATCCCTGCCCTCTCACAGTCACTGGGCGTGGCAACTGGAAAGAGCAAAGATCGGAGAGAAACGGTTTCAGGAATCATTTTTGACCAGAACTGTGTAAACAAAGCTTCAAAAGTGACTTTGTGTGAATGACATTGTTTTTTTTTAAAAATACTAGTTACTACTACACTGTCCAACAGGGTTTGTGGAGAAAGTTACTGATTGTTTTCAAAAGAACATAATGACAGTGGTGTACACAACATTAAATTGGGCCTTTGTGTTGGCAGGAATCTGTCAATACGATAGATATCATGATACAGAGGCAACGATGCAATATATTGTGATATGAATCATGAATCATGTTAGGAGATGGGACAGAGTGCATGAGTGTATGCTGTGTGTGATTGACAGCCAGACTGTCCAATCAGAGCATGGTGGTCACCAAAGTCAATCTGTAAAACCCAAAATAGTGCCAACTTGTCTAACTGATCTTTGATAATGACGATCCTAAACTACAGAGAATTAAACATTAGGACTGACAAAAAAATAATTTGAAAAGACTATCTGAAATTATAAAAAAAAAGAAGAAAAAAACAATGCTTTCTATGGACCTTTTGGTGTCCAGTTCACATCGTGTACGTACCTGCACTGCAGTATTTTAACAACACAGTCAAACTGATCAGCCACAGGATTTGAAACCTGTGAGGACAAAGAAAATGTCAACATTTAGTCATCCTGTTGATGGAAGTTTAATGTGAAATACAGTGACAACAGTCAGGGTGTACATTCCTGATGGTGTTTACTGAAGGAGCCACGGAGAAGGGTGTGATGTTTTGACTTGACCTCATTGTAATTGTGTGTCGCTTCGTGGTGGTACTTTGTGTTAGCTCAGCCTACATCCCTCTGAATAATGGTCAGGTGTGTTTTGTTACAGCTCATATGGCAGAAACCCATGCTTTTATCCTCATTTTACACCCACATCGATCATTGCCCCCAATATGGAAATAAATCCTTCTTAACAGAGAGTTTTAATCATTAATCCACATTATTTTATTCTCTACTCCTTGTAATGGATCCACATTTCTACTGATTAACACAGATAAAAACTGCTGTCATCTACCATTGTTTGGATTTAACTTGTGAAAAGTGTATTTAATACTGGGTGGTTCTGCATCAGCTTCTCACACCATCACGTACATTATCAGTCATCCCATCATTTCACACAATGGCTCAAGGAAGTTGTTGAATATGAGAAAGATCATGGCAATGATGACGATCATTTATGATAAACCAAATGTCATGATTCCTTTAAGGAAATCATGGAATATTGTCACTGACAGAGGGAATATGAACAGACAGTGGCAGTGTTGACACACACACACACTTCTATGACGTAAACCCTGGACTGTCCAGTTTCAACTTCCCTCTGGGACTGAAACTGGAGAAAGTTGTTAGAAATGCCATGATCACCTGGTTTAAGCCACATTTTTCACCATTTAAATCTGAATAATTTTTTTTAACAGTTCATAATCACAAAGGAGCCGAGCCTATGGTATAATTAACAAGATGTCAAGAACTGACTTGTTTCAACTTTGATATGGAAGAATCCAGTTTAGTTTTCCAAATTTAAAATTATGATAGTGATATTATTTCTAAAACCTGAATTTACCTGACTAACTTTTGGAGGAAACATCTGTTTAGTCCAGTTTTAAATAATTTAAAAAATAATTTAAAATTAAAATTATTAAATAGTGTCTTAATTCTTAGTAATAGGTAAAACAAGTGTTTATATATACTGTACATATATACATGTATAAACATAGATATATATGTCTGTGTGTGTGTATATATATATATACATAGATATATGTGATGTATAATTTTTTTAAATCTAGGCTTGAGTCCTTATTTTTATTTTTTTTAAATCTAGGCTTGAGTCCTTATATGATAGAATACCCTGATTATAATCCACTCAATCACATTCAACGACTAAAAGAAGAGAAAAACTTTTGCGACTTACTGCATATTTCTCCGTCAGTCTTCAGGTGGGGAGAAAGTTCAGTCTCCCCTTCCTCCGATAATTCACCTTCTCTTCGCTGTTAAACCTCTGTCGCTTAGCAGCCTCTCCATTTCCTTTCCTCACTCCACCTGTGTCTTGGCTCCTCCACCCCTGAGATCTGGGACAATGGCCCAGATTACCGTACAGAGCTCTGCCCTGACATCTTAAACCTCTGGGAAGGGGAACACCCATATTCCTCTGCTTATGAGTCAAAACTCTGACAATGAATGGAGCCGTCACCTGAGGCCTACATTCATCCTCTACACTGTAGACAAGGGGACGGGACACAGAAATAGCTTTAATGAATGGTTAACAAACCAGATTGTATGATCATCATGTGGATCAAATTAATGTCATAAAAATCGACCACTGGCTTCAATAGACCTCATCTATCTAATTATCTTTATAACAATTTTAAGGTTTATTTATTATTTACTCATTTAAAAAAAACAGTACTAAAAACATTTTTATGTTTACTTTATTTTACCAGGAATAATCTTATTGATATAATTATCACAGACGCAGTACTAACTTTACTTTATTTTACCAGGAAGAATCTTATTGATATAATTATCACAGACGCTTGTTATATTGTACATTGGAACTTCATGTTCTAATTTAATTTAATTAAGGCATTTTGAAAATGGTTTCCTTCCATCTTGTCAAAACAAGTTAATTGTGAAAATGTAACCTATGAACTGAAAATTTACCTGCTGCCCGCCTTATGCCTTTATCCGAAAGTGCGACATCGGTTGTTTCCGCCTTTCCTTGGTTTAAAACGAGGACACAATAAAGATAATATTATTTTAAAACAGACGTGGCTTCATTCAGTCACGACACAGCTTAACCACGTGTTACATATAAATTGTTATCAAGTCTATTAGTTTAGAAAAATAACAAATTTAGCCTTGCTAGCTGTCGCTTCCGCGTTTTCCGTGGGGGATTGTGGGATATGCCCCGGGTTTAAAGCAGTGATGGGAGTTCCCGCTCTTTTAAAGGTTCAACGGTAAACGAGTAAAAGGTGGTTCATCGAATAATAATTCTATATTTAACTTGATGATTTGTGTAATACTAACGTCCGTTAATCAAGTCTTTCATAAATACAAAAATAAAAGTGACTTACTACACGGAGAGGTCTGTGTAAGATTGCTGTTACAGTTTGCTGTTAAGCACAGATACAGTTTTTGAATTTGTATCACAACCTTTGCGATGAAGAAGCACAGATAGAATTTGTATCACAACCTTTGCGATGAAACCAACTTGTCAAATGAGAACACAACAACGTTATTTTAATTCAACTTTCGATCTTTGCGATCGAGTTTACAGTGAGTGTTGTGTGGTTATTTTTATTCTCCGTTTGTCCGTATTGTATCCTCCTTCTGACCTGTGGGTGGTGCTAAGTACACATTTAAAAGGATTCGAGTAGGACGGTACAACATACCTTAAATTGTTTTAGATACATTTCTCCTGAGTCGTTTGTAATAACGACATATACAATATTTAGGTTTGGAAAATAGCTTTTGCCCAGAAAAAGTATATTAGTATTTTATATGAGAGGCAGCACTGATCTGTTGGTATGTTACAGAGCTCCTGAATGTCCTACAAAAATGTTATTTTCATTGAACAAAGGTACAATCAGTGTGATTTACCCCGTGGCATGAATTATAAAAATGTACATTGAAATGAATTTGCCTTGTTAAACATTCATCCTCCTCTTCCCCCACAATACCCGAATGCCACTAAAGGGCCCATGTCCAGCTTTGGGAACCACTGTTATGAACAAACATCAGTCAATAAAATATTCTAAAAATAAATTCTGATTAACCAAATAATTAATGGTCCTTGCTGCAGTACCTATGTGGAGATCCTAGGGGTCATTCATTCTCTGTTGGAGACTTCCTGTTTTTTTAATTTACCAAGTGGTGAAAATTAATCTTTTTTTTTAGCCACTGTTTAGATTTGAAGTTTTTATTGACGTTGGCAATTCATCACATGTCCACCAGACACAAACATGTACCTTACAGATGCAGATGAGTGTATATTGTCCATTGTATTGAAAGTGACAAAACAGTGTAAACATATACAGATAGATGTAGGTAGTTAAAGTATAAATCTTGGTTAACAATGATGTCATTTTGATTATTTATATTATGTAATTGATATAAAGCACTTTGTACTCTAGGATCTTTCTTAAAAAAATGAGTGATCTTTCCAGTAAGGGACCTTTACAGGATCTGCTTTAAAACTGTAACAGTACAGTACACTTAGCATACCACATCGTTAACAACTTCCCTCGAAACCTCAACAAATAAAAGAATAAAAAACAATAGCAAGAAGCAAAGACTTCCTCCAGAGTGTGGAACTGTCATGGTGTGACGCAGAAGAGTTCACGTTCTGACAGTCGAAGCCGTTGCCTTGCATGCCGTGTGGACAGGAACAGGAGAAGTCTCCTGGCAGGTTGGTGCAGCTGGCAGCAGGGTGACAGCCTCCATTCTGAATATGGCATTCATCAATGTCTATGACAAGAGCAACATTTTAGAAAAGTGTCAGATGCAGTGGTGAATCTCAATAAGAAATTAATCATGAAAACTAAACATCTGCTTCAGTGAACTGTGACAAATGAGTGTTTCTTTTTCTCACCTGAACAATTCCATCCATCACCACTGAATCCATGGTTACAGACACAGTTGTGGCTGCCTATCAAGTTGTGACACTGAGCAAACTCACTGCACTGATGCTCCCCTGACAAACACTCATCCACATCTGGAAATATTGAGGAAAGAAACATCATAAGGGAAACAAGAAAAGATAAAATAAACCCAGATCATGGAAGAGCCGGTGGAGCTGAGACACAACTCCATCACCTGACAACGTTCACACAGAATTAAACAGTCAACATTGAACAGACCACACACTACTACATATATATGTATATATATACTGTATAAATGCATGTAGCTAAATGGCGCAATGTGAAAATCTCTATGATGCAGGATTAGAATGCAATGATGTGTATTTTTTAATAACATCTAGAAATAGAATTCCATTTATATATTTTAAAAGATCAACATTGTATTGTATCTATTATAAATATATGTAAAGAACAGAACTGAAATGTGAATTAGAATTATTTACCAACACATTCGATTCCATTGAAAGTGAAGCCAGGCGTGCAGACACAGGTCACACCGTCACCCAGGAAACCCAGGTCACACACACACTGGTGCCCAGCAGGTGAAGGGTGACACAGACCACGTGCATGGCAGGCCGGGTCACACAGTGGACTGGGAGATACGCAGCTGTCATTGAGGGCCAGGGTTCTGTTCAGACAGGAGCAGACATGTGTACCAGGAGAGTTGACACATGTGGAGAAGGATGGGCAGATGGTACCAGACAGAGCACATTCATCCACATCCACACACAGGAAACCATCTCCATTAAAGCCCTGCTCACAGGTGCACAGGAAGTCTCCTATCAAGTTGGTACACAGTGCACGTGAGTGACACGGGTCGGCCTCAGAACACTCGTCTACATCCTCACACCGGCTGCCGTTTCCTTTGAATCCTTGGAAGCAGGTGCAGGTGTGGGAGCCCACTGTATTGAGGCAGGTGGCGTTGACGTGACACGGGTCGTTGTCACACTCGTTGACATCAACACAGTCCATGTTAGCGGCAGGGCGGTAGTAACCTCGTTGACATGGACACTCGTATGATCCATCAATGTTCTTACACTCTTCATTCAGTCCACACGGCTCTCTCTGCTCCTCACACTCGTTGATGTCCCGACATAGAGTCCGGTTCACCAGGTTGAAACCTCCTGGACACAGGCAGGAGAAGGAGCCCCGGCTGTTGACACACTGAGCGTTGTCACTGCAGCCTCCGTTCTCCAACAGGCACTCGTTCACATCAGTGCACCGGACCAGACCGTCTCCAGAGAAGCCCACCTTACAGCTGCAGTTGTAGGAACCAGGAATGTTAATGCAGAGGGCGTTCTCATGGCACTGTGACATCTGTAAGCACTCGTCCACATCCTCACAGGTCAGACCATCTCCCCTGAACCCGTCCTTACACTCACACATGAAGGACCCAGGGAAGTTCTCACAGCTGGAGTGGACGCTGCACCTGCCCTCTGCACACTCGTCCTCATCGTCACACTTGGACTGATTGAAGATGTAGCCCAGACCACAATCACAGAAATACAGGCTCTTGGGTGACACATATGGAGCCCACTCCCACACTCATCAATGTCACTGCACAGCAGACCGTTGCCCTGGTAACCCCTGTCACATTCACACATGAAGTTCACACAGTTGGCCTGTGGATGACACCTGATCCCCAACTCCTCACAGTCAGTGGGCGTGGCAACTGGAAAGAGCAATGATGACAAAAACAATTGGTCTTTTTTTCAATAAGCAGCATATGTAACTTACTTAGGTCTGTGTGGTGAGTACAAATATAAAAATGTTTGTTTATACTGACCCCCACTGGAGAGTTTCAGCAACACAGTCAAACCTACGGCCATGGGCCACAGCAGGGACAACCTGGGGAGGTGGGGGGTATTTGTTTAATAATGTTCGATATAACATAAACAGAAACGATCAGGCCTGACTAATCAAACAATAATCCATTAATTTAATCCATTTATTTTAAATATCTTCTAATTCAAAAAGTTCGCTCGAGTAAGGCCGAATGAGTTCGCAGCGAGATGAGCCCTGATTGGTTCGGTGCATTCGCACTGACCTCATTATTTGATTCATTTATAAAGTAAGTAATAAAAAGAAACGGCAGGTGTCACTAAATGTAATAAAGTACAAAGTACGAATTTTCACTTGTGAAAGTGTAGAAACGCAGTACTGCCCGCCTCTGTAAATCAGCAATAATTTCAGGACGTTTTTTTATTTGTAACGAGTCACATATATGAATAACAAATACATACAAATAAATATAATAAATAAGTGTGTGTGTCATCTACCTCCCCCATCCGCGTGTACAACCACAATGCTGTCCTTTCGACCGAACAATTTTCGGTAAATTGTTTCAGCTGAATAATAATAATAATAATAATAATAATAATAATAATAATAATGGACATTAACCAGGGTTAACCTCTCATTCATTTCTTGACCCTCATTTCTCAGTTTGAACTAAAACTTCAACAAAATATTAATCTGAAAAATTCTCACTTACTGCATATTTCCCAGATGTCTGTTGGGTTTTTATTCTCGATCAAGGTAGAAATTCAGCCTTCAGCTCGTCTAGTCTGTTGTCCTCTAATGGAGTCAGGTCTCTGTTGTTCTGTAGCATCTTCTCTTTCCGTCTTTGTCACCTTTACCTGCAGTTCTCCACCCTTGAAATCTGGGCCACTGGCTTATTTTACCAGACCGTACAGTGTTCTGACTTCGGAGAGGGGGCAACACCCAGTTCTATGAATTGCCCCTCACTTAAACAATAAGTCAGACCCTGAGGCAGTCATGTGACCTCGTTAACAAAAACTAGACATCGGTTTATGGTTCTGATCACTCGGTCTTCCAGAACTCGTTGGTAACAAAAATGTACCACGGCACAGAGGTCCATTCCACTTGGCTTAATTTTTCCATTCACAGTTTTGTGATATGTATTTTTGTTATTTATATTTTTTTTTGGAGCGTGCTTTGCGTGTTTTCAGGTCTGTGACGTCTGTCATAATAATCAGCGGCCAACGAGGTATTTTCTTAATTCACAATAAATTCACATTGATTTCTATTTACATTAAATTAAATGTCATTACATTTTAGCTAGTTTATTTTATACAATATTATTATCGATATTTAAATAATAATTTGTACTAATTTGTACAATTTGCGAGAGATTGTGATATGAGCAAATGTGACAACTAAAGCGATCGGTTTATAGTTGTAAACACGGTATATTTTCTGAATTGTATCTATCGAATTAATATATTTAAATTTTAATACACGGTATACAAATCTGATAGGTGAGTTCTACCTATCAGATTTGTGTACCCATACCGATTCTTTAAAAATTAGAAGTGAAAACACGCGCCGGTGTCGGTGTCGTGATAGAACTACACCCGGTGTTTGATTTGTCTCTGTAGATTCGTCAAATTGTTTTTACAGAAATTATTAATAGTAAAAAAAACAGGTCGTTTTTATTGAAGTTATATACGTCATAAGGCTCGACCACAATATAGGCGTCATCACGTCAGCCTCAGTTCTATCTTTCTACTGTTATATTAAATCTGACCACCAGATGTCCTCAAACACTACTGTTATGTTTTGAACTCTCATTCAAACACACCTGACACCAGTTCTCCTCCTCTGCCTCTGTCTCTCTTTTGACGCTAGGCCAGTTTCCTGAGTCATGTGACATTTACCAGTGTGTGTGTGTGTGTGTAACTGATTCACACGCAGGTGAAACACATCACAGTAACAACGTTCAACAGAACCACTGATTTATCCACCCTGGCCTGTCAGACTAACCACTGCTCACTGTATGAGCGGCCCATTCTGTGGATCATGTGAACGAGAAGAAGTGAAAGAAAAGTTTGTTTAATCAGGTCATGGTCCAAACAAAAGGACTGGTTAATTATTATCTCTCCCTTTGTGTAGAATCGTGTTTGTAACTGACACAGTCAGCACATGAACAACTCACTGCTGTCCTCGGTCTACGGGCGTGCAGTCCAGGTGCAGTGTGGGTACAGTGCAGGTGCAGTGTGGGTACAGTGTGGGTACGGTATAGTACCATTTGTGGTCTTCATGTTGTTTCCTGGGAGGGACCCTGAGAAGTCTGTTTTTTCTGATTTATTTATTTATTTTTTTAAATAAACTGTCTAAGTCTATAACACACTGGGACATGTCCACCCTAGAAAAAATAGTTTCAGAAAAAGGTGTGTGTGTTTGTGAAACAATGCTGTCTGAAGACACACTAAGGTAAACATTCAGGTATGGTGTGCTCCACCTCACCTCAGGTATGTTCCAGCATATGTTGTTTTGTTTCAGTTCTGTTAAATAATTTCCATTTTTACTGACTGCTGCGTCCATCTCACTCTCCTTCCTGGTAATTGTTCATACATCAGTTCCACTTTTACCAAGTACATTTAGGGAACTTGATGGTTTTAGGGTGGTTGATGGTGCTGTACCTTCCTGCCACACAACCCACATCACCAGTTGCTGCATACTCTGCTCTCTGATCAGCTGGGTCATGTTCCATTTAGAACACCCTGGTAGGCCTGTGACGTTCTCTGGTACAGTTCTGTCAAATCAAATGTCATTTCTGTTTCAGACCTGTTTTTATTGCATGTTAATATTTGATTATTCCTGGTTGCTGTTTTACTAACATCTCCAGTTGTAAAGACCATTATATCAACTGGTTTTATTTCTGCTGAACAACAGCCTCTGTTGACTGAGAGACTTGGTTATAGTATCACAGCTGAGTGAAATCATTTCTTCCACTTGTCCAGTAGAATCTTCACGATACTTGAGGCTGTGACTCAACCCCGTCAGTGTCACTAAATCAAGCGTGACACACCTGAGAAATGGTTTCTCCACCTCTGGTTTCTGTCATGTCGGCGACTGGTCCCGCACCTGATGATGTCATCACAACGCAATGCTTCCCTGTGTGTTGTAAACAAGACACCAAATTAGAACTAGCTGACTAGCTGTTTATGACACATTAGAAAAATATTAGTTTCTGATCACGGCGAAAAATAAGTAACTATAAATGATATTAATGAGACGCCCTATATTAATAAAATAATCAAGATCTTAAACAACAACATAATAACACTATCACTACCACTAGTACTACTATCAAAATAATAATAATAATAATAATAATAATAATAACAATAATAAATAATACTAATAACAATAATAATCTTTGAGTTTTCTGTTATTATACTGGTAACATTGACCATGTTTTAAATTTAATTCTAATTAGCTATTAGTGAATCTAATTTTTTTTTTTATCGAACTGGTCAAAACATTGATAAAAATGTGTACTAAATGCGTTATTTTAAGAAATTCTTTCATTTCATTTTCATAACGAAACCAGGCTCAAACGCATAGGAAATTTACCGTATATCACAACAACCACCGCAGGGGTGCGGGGTTGAGTTATGACCAAATATAGTAATTCCGGTGAAAAGGTGCGTTTGGAGTATGAAAGTCACGCCCCCTTTTATTGACGTCACATCGAGACTCGTCGAGAGATCTTAAATTCTGGTGAGTCTCCAGTGTTGTCAGTTCGTGGAGAAAACTTACTGGGAACTAACGCCGCCTTTTAACAAACAAACGGGACAGGTGTTCTTTTTAGTCTCTGACGCTTCATCTCTGTCCGTGTACGTGCGCGCTCCCGTCGGTCTCTCTCTCTCTCTGTCAAACAGGTTGGACAGGGACACACCTGTGGCTCTCACACAGGTACTTCTTTGACTCGCCTCCATTTTCTTTACTCCGTTTCTGGTCAGAGTGAACGGAGGACGCACCGCAAGCCGAGGAGGACAAAAGGGGAAGACAACTTTGAATTTAAACAAAACCACAAACAACTCGATTATGAAGGTTTGGATTGTCCTGCTGGTCGCAGCCTTCGCTGCAGGAGCCTACGCTCAGAGCTGTAAGTAATTTAATTATTTTCTCTGGTTAACTACATATCGTCGCTGACGTCATTTAATCAGGAATGTTCTCGAACGGTCACAAATGAAGCCCAGTTGCTGTCGCTCTTCTTGCACTATATTAATATCTCACTATATTTTACACTGGTTTTGTAATTTTTTTGTTTTTGTTTTTTAGTTAGTATATTTGCAATACAAAAACGATGTGGAAACTGTTGGTTTGTTTGGTCGGAGGGTTGCTGAGGGGAGAGTGGGGGTTGGGAGCCGTGTCCCGCTCTTTGAGGATCGGTGTGTGTTTGAGGAAACCAACGCCCAGGTATAAACCTGCTGGTCTTCCTGTCGTTGACGGCCTGTGTACGAACCAGCCCTTGGTGAACAGACCCAGAACTGCTGCAGCCTCCAGAACCGTAGTGGTTTAACACAACTGTAGCTGGGTTTTTATTAGTTTATTTTGTTTGTTTGTTTAACTGATGTAACCTACACAACTAACCACTGCTGTTCTCCTGACACAGGTTCATGTGAGTCTATGAAATGGGCCACCTGTGACGGTTCCCCATGTACCTGTTACGTCATGACTGGCGACAACTTCAAACAAAATCTGGACTGTGCTAAGTGTGAGTACTTTTAGAAGCAGGGACCTTTAGTCTTTATCCTTTTACCTCCTGTGTCTGTCCACTCATGCTGGATGCCCCTCCGCCCCTTTTAGTGGTTCCCAAGTGTTACCTGATGAAGGCAGAAATGTACAGAGCCAGGAACAAGCTGGACACCCGTACCAACATCGGAGGAAAGCCTGTGGAGACCGCCTTTGTTGACAACGACGGCATCTACGACCCCGACTGTGAGACCAATGGTAAATTCAGGGCCAAGCAGTGCAACAACACCAAGGAGTGTTGGTGCGTCAACAGCGCTGGGGTTCGACGAACGGACAAGGGAGACGAGAACCTCAAGTGTGAGAAGCTGGTGGAGACCTAGTGAGTTAACTAACATGAGTGACTGGACTGAGGATGACCAACATGAACTTTCACACTCTAATCTTTTTCTTTTTTTTTTTTTTCTTTTCTCTTTCTACAGCTGGGTTCGTATTCAGTTGACTCACAAAAAAGTGGAGAAACCAGTCAAGGTTGACCAGCTGAAGGGGTAAGTCTGTTAACTAGTTATTTAGTCTCAAACCAACCAGTCTGTGTGTCGCGTCACTGGTTAGTTAATTTGTCTCTCTTGATTCCAGTGCCATCGCTGAAGCCATTAACAAGAGATACAACAACTTCAACAAAGACTTGGTGAAGGAAGTCCAGGTAGGAGAGAATGACGGGGGACTGGGGGGGGGGGGGGGAGTACAGGTGAAGACTAGGACACGTGACTAACAAACATATCTGTGTGTGGTTCTGCAGTACGACCCTGACGCTCGCATGATTGTGTTGGATGTGAAGAAGTCCGTGGGAGATCGCACCAATGAACTGACCCACATGGCCTACTACATGGAGAAGGATGTACGTGGGCGTCCATCTGTCCATCTAACAGAACCGTAGGTAAAGTTCTAGCCAACGTGGACTGACAGCCGTGTCTCTTCCTCTTGTGTTCCTCAGGTGAAGGTTCTGCCCCTGTTCAGGAGCCAGGACAAGTTTGCCCCAGTGGTAGAGGGCCAGAAGCTGGAGATGGAGAACATCCTGGTGTACTACGTGGACGAGGAGGCCCCCACCTTCACCATGAAGCATCTGTCTGGGGGGATCATCGCTGTCATTGTGGTGGTGGTGCTGGCTGTGGTGGCCGGCCTGCTGATTCTGGTGAGTTTATCATCCACTCCAACGTACGTTTTCCTCTCGACTCATGAATCTTGATTCTGATTGGTCTCTGTCTGTGTGCAGTTCTTTGTCAAAAGGCGTCAGAGCCAGCGGTACAACAAGGCTCAGGTGAGACAGAACTCCACCTCCTTCACATTGTCACCTTCATTCATTGAAAAGTTGGCTTTTTAATAATCACGTCAACTGTGTTTTTCCCATAATGCAGCAGAGAGAGATGGAGCCCATGTAAAGTCTCCATGTGAGCAGGCGTTTCCTGAAGAGCTTGTACATCACCACTGGATGACGCGCTCCAGCAGTGGCCGTGTGTCTTCTCCACCGTTTTACTTGAGCATCATCACATGGTCGTCATTGGAACTGCTGTTGTCGTCATTTATTTATAAATGTTTTATGTCTAATCCACATGCCATAAAGAACTTTGCTTTTTTTTTCTGTTTTTCTAAAGATGCCAGGTTTTAACCGTAGAACTCATTGTTTGGCCTTAATTCGTTGTCACTGATTGTACAGTTGCTGTCTTTGTTTTTGTGTTTGTTTGATGAATCGTTTTTAATAAAATGTTTTAAAGACTCTGAGCTCAGTGCAGGTCTTTTTGTTGCAGATTGTTTGGTAAAAATGTGCATCTGTGGAAAGACACACCCTGTTGACGTCCAGCAGCAGTGGGCTGCACTCTACTGTCATGGGTTTCAAACCTACAATTCTCTGGTCACTCCCACCTGGACCTGAGGATATTTTTTTTTTCTTGTAACTAAAAGAACAGGAACAATTTTGCCACAGTTTTATGGAAGATAAAATATTTTTCTATAAAACCAGACAAAGCTTTAAGAACTGTTTCCCCTCAAACAGCTGTTGTCTTTCATTAAAATGGCTGCTGTTTTTTTTTCTGTCCTCTTGTTGCGGACTTTTGTTTGTATTTGAATCTGACTCAGATGCTGACACCACCCACTCATCCACCGACCCACCCACCCACCTGTGTGTCAATCGTCTTCTGACTTGTACTTCCACAGACACTGACTGACTGAGCAGAGATTCTTTGACTTTGTCGGTTACTGATTTGCAGCTGCGTCTGTGACTCTGCTGGTGTGACATGGTGTACAACCGGTCAGTCAGGTTCTGGTTAACTCGTAAATAAACACTTGTGTTTAGTGAACAGAAATGCCGACAGAGGGTTGAGTTCAGAATGCACTTAAAGTCAGGTGAAAGGTGAACAATCAGAGTCTGAGACTGTTGTTGTTGTAGTTGTTGCTGTTGTTGTTCAGGTGAAACTGGATGTCAGCTGACCTGTCCTGTCACGTCCGTGGGGGTCTGTGCTGTTGTCCTGTCGTCCCCCTGCACCATCCTCTGGTCAGACACTACTGATTTTCTTTTCAAGTAAAAACAACTGAATGTTACTGAGAAGACGCTAAGCTAACTATAGATTAAAAAGGTTAGCATATTAGCTAAATGTTAGCTAAATGCTACCTAACAACATCACAAAAAAAGCCATCATCAAAACTAATCAACAACTATACCATACAGTGGTTAATTATTAACCAGTCAGTTAAACCACAGCTCAGACCAGGACGGACGCAGTTTCACGTTTAAATCTAAACTTTTAGCCAATGTCTCTGAACCTGAATCCTGTCTCTGTTTGTTTTAACGTTTTGAAAACACACGGAGTTCAACCCTCAACCCTCCAGTGATTCTCTGTTTACACACACCTTTGTTTCTACACATTAGGAGCTGGAACTATTTGTTTCTTCATCAACGTTCTCTTCTCATTTGGCCTCACCCAGTTTTTTTCCTCTCTGAGCTCTCGTCCCTCACCCTCCTCCCTCCCTGCTTGTTTCTATAGCAGCGCTGTCTCAAACTAGTTTGGGCAGGTATCATATATCTCCTCCCTCCCTCCCCCCACATACACACATACACACACACACACAGCTCTCTGTCTCTGTGAGAGACTGCAGGAATGAAGGTGTGTCAGCTGCTGCTGGGCAGGTATCAGCACGTCACAGTGGGTTTTCATCAGGGGCAGAGGGGGACTGAAGGAGGGAGGAAGGGAGAGGGGGGAGGAAGAGGGACTGCTGCTTTAAAAAAAAAAGAAGGCAGTAGTGGTTCAGTGAAGTCTGTGATCCATCATCTTGGGTTAAATACATATGATTTATTTGTCAAATAAATAGAATGACTTGAAAACTGGAAACAAAACCACACCGTTATGAAGGTGGAACAAAAACAGGATCCAGTTTCTGTTCAATGAAAATGAATGAAATAATCGACACCGACTGTGTAAAGAAATCACTCGGTGTTTGTGTGGACATGACGTGGTTTGGATTTGACTTCAGCTTCTGGTTCACTGTCAGAGGGAGGAGCTCCGTATGGTAAATACATTTTTTTTTTTTTCGATCACATCTGTGGACCATGGCCTACTTTTACTGAAATAATATTTTCCTGTCAACTCTGATGGAGGTGGTCCAACGCTTGGCTCCTGTGGCTGTCGATCAATCAGAGGTTTGTGTCTGGTGGTCCACCCTCCCTGGAGCCCCATCACAGCAGAGTCGGGGTTTTACTGGGTCGCCCCAGGACCGGCGGGGATTTGCTCCTCAGCTCTTTGCTCTTCAGGCTGATTGGCTGTGCCACCAAGAGGGCGGGGGCAGACAGGTGGTGGGCGGCGGCCTTCTGCTGGTGAGCGTTGTTGATGTAGCTGGAGATGAGGAGGGTGATTTCCCTGACCTGCAGGTGGAACCAAACACACATCACAACCAAGCAGTGACTGGTACTGATGCTGTGACCGATGTCAGAGGATACAGTTCCTGGTGGAACTTGTTTTCTGGGAATCTGGTCCTGCTGTAAGTGTGTTCTCCTCTGAACACGACTTGTATCAAGTGCCAAATAACACATTTCTTTTTTTTTTTACTTTATTTAAACTGAGGCTGGTGGTGATCAACACTGGGGGTGCGGACAGTGAGGTAGTGTCAAACTAAGGCTGCAGGTCCATAGAAAGACCACAACTGAACCCGGTGGTACTGACTGACCGGTGGTACTGAGTGTAAATAAAAGACCTTGTCTACGGTAGTGTCAAACTAAGGCTGCAGGTCCAGAAGTAGACCACAGCTGGTGTCAGATGAAGATGGACTGACCTTCAGAACGACTTGAGTGTAAATAAAAGACCTTGTCTACGTAGTAAAGGACTGGTACCATCAACTGAACATCTGCACACGTGTGTGTGTCTGACCTTGGAGGAGTCCATAGAAAACAGGTGCTTCTCTGTGGGTTTGTCTCTGGTACTGTTGGCACCGACGCTGTGTCCCAGCACCAGCATGAAGTCCTGTCTGCAGCCTCCGAACGTCATCAGGTTTTTGTAGGAATGTGAGACCAGTGGTTTCTGGGTTTGATTAAAAAAAAAAAAACACACAAATGTTAGAGACGAGGAGATAAACTCGTCTGTACCTCAGTGACCACAGTAGGGGGCAGTGAAGAGCCTTACTATAGAGTTGTGCTCTAAAACACTGACTCCGTCCTCGTGCACTGCCAGCCACACACGCACACCTGGCTCTGGAGAGGAAGTCACCGTCTGCAGAGGGAGATGAACAGGAAACAACACGACAGACAAGAGACAAGTTCACTGGAAATATCTGAACTAGTTTTAAAGATGACCCAGAGTTAGACCTGACAAAGCTAAAGGTTAGCATTAGCCTCGTGTATGCATGTAGCTAAAAAAGAGGAGAAAAAAAAGGGTCAAAAGGTCAGTCAGACACACACACACACTTACCTCTGCTTCAAACAGTTTAGCACCAAAGAACGGCCACTTCCTGGCCACGGTCAGGTAAATCCTGACGCACTCCGATGAACTCCGACCCCTGAGCGAGGCCCAGCGAGCAGAGAGTCGCTGCAGCAGCTGTCTGTGGGTCAGAAAGACCACGTGTTACCTTCACTGTCCTTCAAAACACTCCTGGATTCTCCTTCTTTGGAGGACAAGGTTTTTTTTCTTTTGTTTTCAAGGCCTTGAGTGATCCTGGAGAGTTCAGCCAAACTCAGACTGTTGGTTATTATCTGATTGTATTAATGTTATTGTCTGTCACACATTTCTACTTCTGTTTTGTCTAGCAGCTACTGTTGGTACTGTTGGTACTGTTGGTACTGTTGGTACCTGAGCTGCTCCTCTGTCGAAGTCCTTCGATAGTGTTTGGGGTAGAACCTCTCCAGAACCTGTTTGAGTGTTTGGTTGGACTTGGTCTGGGCCGAGCCGGCAGCAGAGAAGGGACGCTCGAAATCTCCGAACTCCAGCTGGACACAGACACAGAGTTGAATCAACATAAGGTTCTGGTTTCATTGGTCCTTTACCATGTGGGCGGTGGGGGTCGTGGTCCAGACCTGGGCCAGCAGAGCAGCCATCTCCAGAGCCAGCTCCTTGTTGACAGGAAAGTGTCCAGAAACAATGGCTTCATTGGTCTGATAGGCCAGCAGGGAGCGCTCCCTCTCCACCTCCCCCCGGACCTGCAGAGAGGAGTACAGCCTGGGGAGGAGGAGAAACAGGGGCAGGGGTCAGAGGTCAGTAAACTTTAACAGGTGGTCCCAGGAATCGTCTTTTATTTTATTATTGATCACCAAATTTGATTTTTTTATGTATTTATTTTTGTGTTATATTTTCTTTTTGTGGTCCAGGTCATTGGATAAAAAAAATCATTGATGCTGATTTTGTGTGTGTGTGTGTGTGTGTGTGTGTGTGACCTGTTCTTGTAGGTGAGGCGGACGGTCCTGGTGTTCTCAGACTTCCCAGTGTGCGTCTCCTTACTTGCCTGCTCCCACTTGGAAATGATGTCACAAATCTGAGGAAGATGTGAGCTGTCAGGGCAGGGCTCTGACCTCTGACCTTTGACCACAGCATACTGAAGTACCCACCTTGATGCTGCCCTGGAGGCAGTGCTCCAGCTCACGTCCGGTCGGATCGTCGGTGTACAGGCTGAAACCCGACAGTCCGTTCTTCCTCATACCAGTGTCCTGGTTCAGGCGACTCTGGAACTCGTCCACCGTAGTCGAAGCGTCAAAGCTCACCACCTGTGGACGGAGGGACGGAGGAAGTCACTGTAGGGACAACAGTGGAATCGTCCAGTCTGTAGACGGTCACGTAAGTTTCTTTTTCACAGCCTAAATCTAGACTTTAGAGTGAAGGATTCTTTACTCTCAGATATCTGGGATGTACAGTATGTAACCCCAGTAGGGGGCAGTAATGCAGCCTTGTTCCTGTTAATCATCATGTGACCTGTGCTGATTCTGAACAGTCACTAACTGTCACGTCATTGTGAAAATTAGTCAACATTCTTTTACCTTTCTGACATCTTACAGTTAAAATCCCAGGTGTCAAGAACATGATTATAACTTTGACAAATTCTGATCATATTTAGAGGAAATGCAAAGTCATCTGTGACTGTGAAGAGTGGAAACTACAGCCTAAGGCTAACTGTCAGCCTTTGAACAATGGTTAGCCTTTGACGTCACCATAGCTACCTGGTAGGTGTTGTTGAGGAAGTGGACAGGAACGCTGAAGGGCAGTGAGTGATGGTACGGGTTCCTCAGGAGGATGGACAAGATCTCCATACGTGATGGTCTGGACTGTCTCTCCCCCTTCTGCTGGGTTCGCTCCATGGACCTCTGACAGTAGATGGCGTACTTTCCCACCTCAGTCCTGGTGATGAGAATTATAAAATGTAAATGTACTTTAATGTTAAGTTAATTAGATTGTTGAGACACTGGAGATGTTGAAACATTTGAAGTGAAAAGAGAGAACACTGGAACCAACAACCTCCCCCCTCTCTTCCCTCCTCCTCCCCCCTGAGAGCCTGCGCTCCATGAACCAGGTGAATACTGTTTGGGGGAAGTGTCACCTGGAGTCTCCGTGTCTTTTCAGGTGAACCTGGAGGAGCCAGAGGAACGGATGCTGAGGCAGAAACAGACCCACACACAGGGCCAAGAACTGCCACCCCTGGAGGACGACACGGGAAATACACAGTTCTTCATGATGACAGTGCACACTCATCATCACCATCATCATCATCATCAGCAGCAGCAAGTTTTGATCACGTGATTAATGTCAGTTTCATTTGTATAAAAATGATCAGGCGCTGAATCACAACATTGTTTTCTAAAAACAAATGACGGATGTGACGTATTAGTGACAGTAATTATTATATCATATTAAGTATTTCCACAAATAGAACTATACTTCAGCTGTGACAGCTGCCCTCTGCTGGCCAAGTGGCTGCAGGTTCAGTGTTTTATTCCCTCTGCTGGTCAAGTGGCTGCAGGTTCAGTGTTTTATTTTTTTGTTTATTTATTTATTGGTGAGAATGAAAAGTATTTCTGAAACTTTAAGTCAGTTAAACTGTCTCCGTCTCCATGACAACCGTCCTAAGAGTTAGATCTTAGAACTAAAACACACTCTGTACGAACTGAACACGTTCAGGACAAATACACTGCAGACATGCATGAGTTTCTGCTGCCACCGTGTGGTGACAGAGCTGACCTGCAGGGGTCCAGGCTGACCCGGCGGCTGCCTCCTGCTGGTCTGTTTGATGAGCTGACAGAACAGCTCGTTCTGCAGCTCTGGGTGGGCCAGACACACCTGCAGGGCACTCTGGGCCAGGGAGACATGGTAATCGATGGCCGGAGCATCGATGGCCACGTTGATGAACAGCTGACAGGTCTGATAAACGATGAAGAGAGAGAGAGAGAGAGACGATGAGATGGATAAACGTGTATGTGTGTGAGAGAGAAGCTACAGGTGTGTGTGTGTGTGTATGTGAACCTTGAAGAGTTTCACAGCCTCCGTCTGCAGGGCCTGTGAAGGCAGCGTGGTCAGAGGAGACCACAGAGCCTCTTTACTGAAGCACAGCGTGGGATGTCTCCAGATCTGGGAGTCTGAGGGATGGACACATGTATCACACATCACCACTAGGGGGGGTAACCAGACGCTCCACTTACCATACCATATGATTTAGGTTGTTTTGTGTATACATCGTTACAGCAGAGACTTTAAACCATATTTACTTGGATCTCCATCCAGCTGGAAGAGTTTTCCCACCAGTTGTTCGAACTCGGTGCCAACGTCACCCACGGTGGTTCCTGCTGCCACGGACAGGTGGTAGAGCCAGGCGTCCTGAGGAGACGGACAGACGGACGGACGTGAACAAACAAACACACCTTCTGGGCGAAACAGTCATTAAGAACAGACAGTGTCGTCGACCTCTGACCTTCTCGTGGCGGGACTCGATGAGCAGGTAGGTGGGTCCTTGTTCCTGCGGGTGGACGGCGATGGTGAAATGTGCTCCCTGTAAGCCCCGCCCACAAGCTTTCAGGTCATCGTCCGAATCCCGCGACCTGTCCACCTCCTCCACCCGGGCCTCCCACAGCTTGATCTGACCCAGAGGGAACTGCAACATCACACTGACCTTTAACTGTGACGGTCATGAGTTTAAATAAATATCGTCAAACGTATTTAGGATCATTTTCGACCTTGTCCTCATGGCTGCGGAAGTAGTAGAGCGTTTTCCCGATCAGAGCGCACCAAACACGCTTGGAGTAGCCGTGCTTCACCTGCCGTTCAGTAAATACACAACATTCACACATACTGTGCACACAATATAGTTATTAAATATGAGCTTTTTTTTTTTTACTTTGATGAGCAGGCCCTTCATGCCGGGGCGGATGTCCGGCTGAGTGAAGAGAGGGCTGGCGGCCTTCACCCTCAGAACGCTCAGCAGAACCCGGAGCCACTCGTCCAGCAGGTTGGGAGAATCGGCCTTCAGGTAGTAAACCCGTTTCCCCGTCACGATCTGAGAACAAGGAGTTCAAGGAGTGATTGACAGTAAAAACAGAGACAGAGTTCTGGAGCAGAGAAGAAGTCAGAACCTGAAGGATTTGTTTTCCGTCTCCGCGGGCGATGTTGGAGGAGGCGTTGACCTCGATCTGACCCTGAGGTTTTCTGATCACGTCACTCTGCAGCAGAAAGGGTTAATGATATTAACATCAGCCGAACTTTGTCCACAACATCAGTGAAGGTTCAGCTCTGACACCTACAGGCGACTTGTAGTACAGCAGCTCTCCATCTTTAAGGACAAACCAGCGTCTCTTCCAGGTTTTCTTCCAGGTCCTCACCATCTTCAACAGGTAACCAGACTTTTCCATCGGCTCCTGTAAGACAAAACAGAGGTCAGGGAGGTCAGAGGAGGTCAGGGAGGTCAGAGGAAGACAGAGAAGAATCAACTCACAGTCTTGCCGTTGTCGCTGGCTCCAGAGCAGGTCTTGGGCAACTTGTGCTCTGGCTCAAAGTTCTCGGTGTCGGTGGAGTAGGCGTCGGGTGGTATGGCGTAGTCACTCTCTGATGTCATCGATGACATGGACACAGCTGCAGAAAGAGGAGGAGAGGTTGACGGCGGAGGTGGAACCAGGCGTCTGACTCTGCAGGAGAACCCTTTCATACTGACCTCTCTTCAGGGAGCGGGGGCTGCCGGGGCTGCTGTCCTTGCGGGAGCTGCAGGAGGTGTGTGAGCTGCAGACGGAGCCGTCCTCCTCCCCTGAACTGGACGACTCCTCAGAACTGGACGACTGGTCAGAGAACGGGCCGCTGCTCAGGAGAGTGGCTTTCTGCACAGAAACAGAGAGTAGAAGAAGAAGAAGAAGGTGATGGACAGGTGAGGACACCCCCCCGACAGCCCCACTTACCCCCTTCAGAGTGGAAATCAACCAATCACTCATCAGAGATGATGACGCTGACTGAGAACCAGAACCAGAACAGCCCCACTTACCCCCTTCAGAGTGGTGTAAACTGGGGAGGTCAGGTTCTTGTAGACCAGGGAGGTGAACATGAGGAAGGCTGGGTAGGAGGACTGGAGGGAGGGGTCTGGAACACAGACCAGCAGGGGTCAGACCCCCTGAGGTTCTTCTCACATCATTGCAAATGTACATGTGTGTGTGTGTGTGTGTGTCTGTGCAGGTGGTCTCTGACAGTCTGATCCCTGACTGAGCCACAGCGTAGATACGACTCTCCTGAAAACAACACACACACACACACACACACACACACACACACCGGTCGATGTTTAAAATGACATCTTTATGACTCTCAGTACGTGTGTATAACTGACTGTACTGACAGGTCAGTTGTCAGTGAGTCTGTCGTTCTTTTTCTACCCTGTCTGTGATGTTTTTAACAGTGTTTTTTAAAAACTGAAATACTCCCGCAGGAGCAGCTGCAATACCAGCAATTCCCCACATGGGGGATTAACGAGCTATATTTGATTCAGATTCACAGAAAGGAAACAAACAGTGGAGTTACAGCTACCAGACAGGAGTAGAAGAAGAAGAAGAGCTCAGGTGAGGCCTCACCCAGGAGGGCAGTCTGTGTAAAGGGGGGGTGGGAGGGGTCCGGTCCGGTCCTGTCACATCAGAGTCCCGGTCTCCCTTTGGACCAGGTAAAGCTGGAGCCTGTGAGCGGGGAAGCACCTTCGGCGGCGTTCTCCTGGTTGTTTCCATTCCGGCCTCACCTCTCTGGTCGGGGTCTGTGTCCAGTGGGGAGAGGGGGTGCAGCATGCTCAGGGCGTTGCGTGTTTTTCCGTCGGTGGTCTCGGCGCTGAGCGGTGGCTGACTCAGATGTTTTTTAGACAAAGAAGCGTTAATCAGTCCCAACCCTGCGGGGGTTCTGAGGCGGGGCTGTTTGGGTGAGGCAGGGTTGTCCCTGGGGTCCTGGGGCGGGGTGGGTCGTTTAGGTGTGAGGGCTGACGTGAGGGGGGCGCTGGGACTGTTGGGTTCATTGGAGTCCAGTCTTTGTGACTGGAATCTTTTGTTGAGCTCCTCAGAAGTGCTCTCCTCCAGCCTGACCCTGCGTGACTCCTCGTCCTCCCCCTCCTTACTCCCCTCCAGACTTCCATCTGAGGGTCCGAGCAGACCGAAGCCGGGCCGCTCCGCTCTCTGCATGTCGTCATCGAACACGGAGCTGCTGTCGTCAGAGGCCGTCAGGTAGGTGTCGCTGCCAGGGCGACTGAACCCCAGTCCACACACCCCACCTCCCCCCTCTGCCTCCCCCTCTGACGCTGCACTGGAGAGCACGGAGGAGACGCCGCGCGACTCCTCTCCGCTCACGATCTCAGCCAGGCTTTCGGACGCGCTGTCGTCATCAACGGTGAGACCAACAAGTCCAGTTTGATCCGGTCTCTGGACGTCACCGTCTGCCTGCTCTGGCGTCGCTGTCGAGGAAAATATGAACGTAGGTGGAATTAATCTCTGGATTAAAGATGTACTGAGAAATACACACGACCCTGGGCTAAAGATCAGCTCTACTGCTGTAGGCCTACACTGCTGGAGAAACTCCC